TTTGAGGAACTGGGCCAATTTTTGGTTTGTTTTTTAAAGGGGGAAAGGTTTATTTAGCTCACAGTTTGTAGAAGTTTCAGTCCATAATTGGCTGGCTCCAAGACAGAGTGTCACATGGCAATAGTTCATGGTGGGCAGAACATAGCAAAGCAAGAAGGAACCAGACAATCCTCTTTTCTGTCCCTTAGGATCTATCCAGACTACAAAAGTATTCTAGGGGGCTGTGGATTTAGCTCAGTGGTTCTGCCACCTGCCTCCCAAGCAGAAGGACCCCGAGTTTGATCCCCAGTACCAAAAAAAAAAAAAAAAAAAAAAGTATTCCAGGTCCCTCTTGCCTCAAGCAAAGAATTCGATGGGACAAGCCAAAATGGTGTCAAAAGTTTATTTGACGGGCCAGGGATTTAACTCAGTGGTTCTGCTGCCTGCCTCGAAAGCGCAAGGTCCCGAGTTCGATCCCCGGTACCAAAAAAAAAAAAAGTTATTTGAAAAATGAAGGATGAAGAGTAAGGGAAAGACAAAAGGATAAAAGCTAAAATAAAAGTGCACCTTGTTCCAGGGATTTAGCTCAGTGTCACAGTGCCTGCCTGGCAAGCGTGAGGCCTTGCATTAGATTCCTAGTACCAAAAATTAAAATAAAAGTACTCCCTGTATCTTGGAGTACATGGGTACCATGAGGAGTCATGGTAGGCTCCTTGTGGTATCTGATGACCTTTACACCATCCATGTATCATGGGAGCTTTTTTTTTTTTTTGGTACTGGGAATCAAACTGAGGGCCTCACACTTGCTCATGGGAGCTTTTGAGAACTTCAACGTATAAGGTCCTGAGAATCACCTGGCACCACCCTGGGATTTTGAAATTGAAAGGTCCTGTCCACTTCTCCAGCCAGTTTTGCCATGCCCTAATACCCTATGTCCTATATCATTCCTATTATCCACACCCAGAACTATGCTAATTCCAATCAGTGGACTAATTTAGTACCACACACCCTTAATCCCAGTATCATGCACCCTAGATCTAGGCAGCTCCAAAAAGCCCCACCTATGAGCACATGAGGTTTTGGGTGGACATCTAGATACAAGTCATAACACATACTAAACTTTAGGTTTAGTGGTGATGAACCTATGGCATGCATGTTACTCTGTTTTTCTTTTAGAACAAAAGATGATAATGTAGAGTTGTTTTTTCTAAACTATGAAACCTCAGTATTCAGGTTTAATTGCAGTGTTGGCACTTTGTGATACATAGTGGGTTTTGGGTTGCAGTCTGGCACCCGGCTCTAAAAATTTTACCATCACTGCTCTAGGTCATACACATGGAACCTGAACAATCTGTTAAGCAACTGGATTAATAACAGGTTCTCTGGTAGCTCTCAACTGACTCATACCTGCAATGAGTGACTGAAAATGGGAAAGAGAGAAAGAAAAGGGGAGATAATCATGAAGTGGACCAATGGGCCTCTTACCGGGTGGGAAAAACACAGAGTTCATGCATTTCCCCTCCCCTGTCCCACATGGTGGGACCCAAACTTCCTGAGTTCCCCAGCTTCCATTAATTTTTACCACCTTCTAGCTCCCTGCCTCTCCCCATAACCAAAAAGGATTTGAGCCCTCCAGTGGATGAAAGCCCACTCTGGGAGAGAAAGGACAAGAGGACTGGAGCTTTCTGAGGGGACAGAGAGAAAGGAAAAAAAAGTTAAACTAGTCCTTTTCTGCTGTAGATTTTAAACAGAAACAAAACTGCCCAAAGGATCTTAGCTGCTCCTGCCTGGCTTTGCCAAAATATGTTACCAGATTCTGGGGTGCTGGGGACCCTTTCTAGGTTCTTCTCTTTTTTTTTTTTTTTAAACTTTTTCAAAATAATCTGCAATACAGAATTAACACAGAACACCAACCACATCCGCAGAGATACATAAGAACAAACGCACAGGAAAAAAAGGAAAGAAAGGTAAGATTGTTTGCCTCCAGTTAACAATAACTGTCAAGCCAACCAATTTACAAAGTGAAAGGTCAGACACTATCTCTTCCTGCTTCTGTGCCTAACCCTTTACCAACTGCTTACTGCCTGGCTCTGAACGTTCCCTGAAAAGCCAGGTATGGACGGTGGAACTTCAGGAAGAGTCCCTCCCCACCACTCTCCCGGTACTAGGGATTGAACCCGTGGCCTCGTGCTAGCTAGGCAAATGCCCTAGCACTAAACTAAGTCCCTACCCCTTTTTATTTCGTGACAAGGTCTCGCCAAACTGCCCAGAAGGGCATCTAACCTGCTGTTCTCCTGCCTCAGCCTCCCGCGAAGCTGGGATTATAGGCGTGGACTACCACTCCTGGTAAAGACTTTTTTGTTTCTGTATTTGTTCTTTCCATGAGAGTCTATTCGTGACAGGTGGGAGGATTAATGTGAGATTGAGGCTATAAAACCCTTCACAAGAACGACTCGTAAAGCCTCACCCGTGCCCCGCATAGGGACACGATACACCTTTCAGGGTTCGCCTCAGCAGCCGGGAGCAAGTTCTATTGGTTCAGCGACACACGCTTAGGGGCGTCCACTGGGCGCGCGGGCCGCCGCCAGTGCTGTCTCTCCTGATAGTTGCTGGGCAAGCGCGGCAGACACCACCGTCAGGCCTCTGCCCGCTCGAGCGGGAGGCAGCAGGGCCGGCTTGGGGTCTCCAGAGCCGCGTCTTCCTGCGGACCAGCGTGCGGCCAGGTGGCGACACTTATCCAGAAAGGTCATCTGCAGCCGCGGAGCCAGACCTCAAGCGAGGCCCTCTGTGGAAAGCTGCCCGCGAAGCCTCAGGGTGGCCAACACGTCAAAGGTTGCCAAAGTTCCAAGAAAAAAAGCTTCCGCCGGGTTCTCTTCTCTTTTTTTTTTGTACTGGAGATCAAACCCAGGACCTTGCACTTTCGAGGCAGGCGTGGCACCACTGAGCTAAATCCCCAGCCTTTCTAGGTTCTTCTTGTCTTGAATAAAGAATTGGACAAAACAAGTGCAAAAGGTAGCAGGGTTTTGTTTATTAAAGGGCAGAAAAGAAGCATGCTCTGCAGGGTGAGTGAGACCAATAAAAAGTATGAAAAGCATACTTTGTCCAACAACAGGTCTGATAGAATGTTTGCACCGACAAGAAGAGAACATTTTTGGAGGTGACAGACTGCCCTAGCTCACTGATCATTACAAAGATCTCTGAGCCTTATGATACATAGGAAAGTGAGCAAAAAGAAATTAGAGATGCTGTAAGACAAAGTGTAATGTTTCAAGACCCACACCAGATCATACACCATTTCTCCTTTTCCTTTTTCTTTTTTGGTACCGGAGATCAAACTTGGTTCCTTGCGCTTGTGAGGCAGGCCGTGGAACCACTGAGCTAAATCCCTGGCCCTCCTTTTTCTTTGAGAACAGGCTCTATGTACACCAGGCTGGCCTCGAACACACTATGTAGCACGTGGCCTTGAACTCATGGTGATCCTCCCAGTTGCTGGGATTTCATGAGTGCACCAGCCACCATTTCTCATTACCTACAGAACCACTTATGACTGGATAAAATATATTATTCTGACACGCAATTTTAGAAATTGTGGCCAACAGATCCTTAGGTGACCCCAATGATCCCAACATGTTATACAAGGCATGCACAACCTACCTTCCCTACCTGGGAGAGACCTGTGACTTGCTTCTAACCAGAATACGGCAAAAGTGACAGAAAGTCAATCCTATGATACATCCAGTTATCTAAGACTCCATTTGTTAGCAGAATCTCTGGGTTTCCTATCAGGCTTGAAAAAAAAGCAAGCAGGCACGTAACCTGCTCAAGGAAGAGACCCAAGTGGCAGGGAACTGCACAGCCTTTGGCCACTGGCTGGCAAGAAAATGAAGCCCTAAGATATACAGCTGCAAGAGAAATTCTGCCAAGAACTGCAGAGTCTGGAAGTGGATTCTCCCGAGTGAAGCCTCCATGTGAGACCACAGTCCCAAGTGCTGCTGCCTTGTCACCCTCTGAGACCCACAGCAGAGGACCCAACTACAGTACTCACACTCCTGATCCTCAGAGACTGGGGTAAATAATAAATGGGTGACATTTGGAACTGCTAAGTTTATGGCAATTTATTATGCAGCATAGAAAATTAGTACAGAAATTTTACTGTGTAAAAGAAAAAAATGAAGAGAAGTAGTATTGTTACTCGGCCAGGTGGTGTATTTATTAATGATGATCAAATATCCAAAGGGCAGTCGTCTTCAATGCTCGTTTCCATGATTTTAAGACTTGGTAATTCCTTGTCATGATTATTATCATCATAAAGCTGAACAGACTGGGACAGTGATGTGCTATAACAACTCAACTCATTGGACGCCTCACCCTTTTCAGTGTCACTGTCACCTTCAATGATGTTCATGGAGGTCTCATGGTCTCTTAAGCTGTCTAAAATACGTGGATTATTTTCATCCCAAGTTGAAGGTTCAAGATTTGGTTCATCATTCACCTGCTGAATTATAACCCCTGCTGAATACTTGGATTTATAGACGGGCATGAAAAATTCACCTTGTGAAGGCATCTCATTTTCATCCTTTGGTGCAGACAGTAACATATCCAAAGCATTTTGGTATTGCTGATGTTCCTGTTGAATTGCTATGTCCTGTGCATTTCTAAGTCCATTTTGTTCTGAATTCATGGCCTTTTCAAATTCAAATGAATTCAACATCTTGACGTCCTGTGGCTTTACCGAGTTTTCCTCAGATGTGCACCCTAAGTCTATTTTTAGGCCATGCAGCAGGTGGCGCATTTTTTCCTAGGATTAAGAAAACACTTTTATAATTATGAGACTAATTAGTTATGCTAATCAAGCTGAGTTAATGTTGTCTGCAGTGCTGCTGATCTCGGCAGGATGAATACTTTCCTCTCCACTCCCCCTGCTCCCTAGCCCCACAAAAAGTGCAAGGGGAAAAAGTGCTTGCTTTTAATCCATTCTTTGAGGCCACAGAAAACTTTTAAAATTTTTGTATTAGAATTTTTCTTTTTCCCCCATTCCTAGCCCTCCCTTCACCCCCTCCACCCTTCCCTATTTACAAAGACTTTATTTCCATTTTTTCCATTTCTCATCATTTGT